AGTGTGAGCGTGCGGGTGGGTGTGTGTTTGCAGACAGGCTGCAACCGCGGCGGGGGAGCCCCATGGCGGCCATCTGAGGGGCGGAGGGTGGGCCGGAGCGGGCAGGACACTGGACATAGCAAGCTTGTACTGCTGCCATCTGATTCTCCCCGGGCTTGCTTTTCCCACCCCCGACCCCGCCAACTCACACAAGAAAAGCAGGCTTGTTTATCACTGGACAGCCCAGCTTACTGGGGGGAATTTCCTGGAGAAGCTTGTTGTTGTTGTTGTTGTTTGCCCTCGAGTTGGCCCCGACTGATAGCGACCCCTTCTTGGGTTTCCGAGGCAGTATCACTACGGAAGTAGGATTGCCCAACCTTCCTTCCGAGGAATGGCTGGTGGGTTTGAACCGCCAGCCTTCTGGTTAGCAGTCAAGTGCTTTAGCCACTGTGCTACCAGAGCTCCTCTGGAGAAGCTAGGCCTCCTCAAAGACCGGAGAAGGGCGGTGGGTAAGCAAAGTGGACCTCTGAAACGAAGTTGGAATGGATGTACAGGCGGTGAGGCCAACACACCTCTAGGAGATACACCTGAGGACGCACATTTTCAGAGCAGCTTATGGGCCCGCTGGGCACAGGACAGGGAGGAGGTTACTGAGAGGACGCTTAATACTAATGTACATGTGTCTCTAGGGCTGTTAAGACTGTCCTAGCTTGTGGCTAGTTTTCAAACCGAGTGGTCGGGGCAGCGCAAGAGTGATGGCCCCAGCATTTTCCCAGGGAGTGCGGCCTTCCATTCCCCGTAGGAAAATCCCCGCGCCCGCGCCCGCTCCGAAAGACACTTAAAAGCCTTTTAACTGGGGATGCTCCACTGTCGGGCTCCACCCTACAGGGAAAAGCCCAGCTCTGCTTCGCTCCCATGGTACGCGGGAGGAACTACGTTCCCAAGGGAAGAAAATAGAAGCCCGATAGAAATGGCTGCGGGCACTGCCAGGTCAACCCGGGCGGAGGCTCCCGCCACCTCCTCAGCTGCTGGGGGAACCGTAGCAGCGGCGCTTGGATTGAGGGCGCCCTCTCGACAGGGCATGCGCGCGAATCCAGGTTGGGTTTTCGGTCCTTTACGGAGCGAGAAGGCTGGTAGGAAACCTCGTTTTCTTCCCACACTTGTTTTGCCTTGACTCCGGTGTGGTTGCGATGAGAAGTCAGGTTGCTTTCCTGAGGCAGTCAGTCTTACAGGGGAAAAAGGAGTGCAGTGTCAGCAGCACATCCTGTAGGAGCAAGATGCTGAATAGCTAAAGCGAGGTTCCTTTCAACTTTTTCAACTTAATGTTGAGAAAGAGCTTTTTTTTAAAAAAAAAAAAAAGTGACCCACTTAGAGTCAGGTGAGTTTATGTTTGTATGACTCACACTACAAGCACACAAGTCAGAAGAGGCCTGTCATTTTTAAGCAGAGAACAAATTTTATATGACTTCTAAAACGAAAATGAAATTCAATAATTAAAAGTGAGAGGTGTAGTAAACCAAGAAAATACAGTTTAACTACAGAAGTCAAAGATACTAGATTTTTCTGATGCACAAGGCAATCACATACCTCAGTCTTCCACCTTTCATGCCATTTTGGGATATAAGGAGGCAACTTCCTCTTTGCCTCAAAATAATCTTACAAACCAATGAAAGCCCCACCACCGCTTGCCCCCATCATTTACGCTCAACACAACCTCCATGTTCCTCATTCATTGTTGAACCGATCCAGAAGACCATTCTGAGGTCTTTGTATTTCTACTCCTCATTGTTGTTTTTAGTGGGTTGTTTTTGTTTGTTTGTTTGTTTTGTCTCTTTAAACGTCATAGAGCTCTTCCAGATTCTCAAATTCACTTGCTTTGCTTTTCCTATTACTTCTTTTTCTAGTTATATTACAATAATTTCTTAGAACATTATATATCTTTCATTTGGATATATGAATTAAAACTAGCAAAAGCCACTGGAATGGTTTTGTGATCTCCCACTGACACTAGTTTCAGTACATTTTGGGTTCTGCTTGAATCCATAGCCACCCTTTCAGCCTTCCTACCAATTAAAACTACCAGGTTGTCCATGCACATTGCATAGTCGAATGTCCTGGTCCCCATACTGAGACTTAATATGCAGAAGTAGATTGTGTATGAATCTGTGTAAGGCCTATCTCTTCTACATACAACCCAGTCTCCTTCCATCCTCACCTTACTTGTCTAGCTATTATGGTAGTATAACAGCATAACATTTTTTCCCTATCTTTACTTCCTTCATCTGTTTACTCGAAAGTCCCCTGCATGAGGCCTTTCCTGGCTACCTTATCTAAAATTATAACACTACTATATCACATCACTTAAATGGATTTTTCTTTTTTTTATAATTTTTACCTTAGCACTTAATCACTATTTAAAATAATGTAAATCCTTGCCATGTGTAATACACAGAAATCAGATAGACTATATCTGGGGAAAGAGGCTGTGGAGAAGCTCAACATCATTAGTCAAAACAAGGCCAGGACCTGACTGGAACAGACCATCAATTGCTCATAAGCAAGTTCAAGTTGAAGCTAAAGAAAACACATCCATAAGAGCCAAAATACAACCTTGATTGTATCCCACCTAAACTTAGAGACCATCTGAAGAATAGATTTGATGAACTGAACACCAATTTAAGATAAAGTATATCCTACTTATCAATTGGTGGCATAGTGCCAAAGGCATTTGACTGCTAACCAGAAAGCTGGCTGTTCAAACCCACCAGCCACTCCTCAGAAAGAAGGTTGGGCAATCTGCTTCCGTAATGATACCACCTTGGAAACCCAAGGAGGGGTCACTATGAGTCAGATACGACTCTATGGCAGTGGGTTTGGTTTTGGTTTGGTTATATGCAATTAACACTATTTCAGATAATGTCCCGGAAGAAGGGCAGCCAGAATGCTCCTTAGAAGCGAGAATGGCCAGACTTCACCTTCAGTCACGTTGTCAGAAGGGACCGACCATTCCCTGGGGAAGGATATCATGCTTGGTAAAGTGGAGGGTCAGCAAAAAAGGGAAAGACCCTCAACAAGATGGATTGACACAGTGGCTGCAATGATGGGCTCAGGTATAGCAAGGATTGTGAAGCTGGCACAGGACTGGGCAGTGTTTCATTCTATTGTACATAGGGTTGCTGTGAGTCAGAGCCAACTCGATGGCACCTAACAACAACTATAAGTTATATCCTACTTTGGTCATGTTGTCAGAAAGGACCGTTCCCTGGAGAAGGATATCATGCTTGGTAAAGTAGAAGGTGAGCAAAGAAGGGGAAGACCCTCAATGAGATGGCTGTAGCAATGGGCTCAGGCCTAGCAAGGATTGTGAGAATGATGGAGGTCCAGGCAGTGTTGCATTCCATTGTACACAGGGTCGCTATGAGTTGGAACCAACTGATGACACCTATCAAAAACAACAACATATTTTGCTTGTTGTTGTTGTTGTTGTTGTGTGCCGTCGAGTCGGCCCCGACTCATAGCGACCCCTCCTTGGGTTTCCGAGACAGCATCACTACGGAAGTAGGATTGCCCAACCTTCCTTCCGAGGAGTGGCTGGTGGGTTTGAACCGCCAGCCGTCTGGTTAGCAGGCAAGTGTCTTAGCCACTAATTCACTTAAATGTAAGCTCTCCAAAGGCAATTATTTTTGTCTATTTGCCATTGTATCCCCAGTGACTGGAGCAGTGGTTTGCACATAGCAACCACTACATGTTATGTGAATTAAAGTCTTTTCATGTTTGTTTATAAGAGTTTATTCTTAAAGAAAACAAGTATGATGTTGAAATTTTCTTTATAAACTCGAGCACCTCAATAACTAAAATTAGTTATTCTGTAAATAATGATGATGACAACTGATTTCTGTCTTATTTCTATCTGAAACTATGGGGTTTTTATGGGGTGCAGTCTTTGTACTAATTCACTCATTCATTCAGTGTAAATTGAGTATCTACTATGTACCAGGTGTTATGATAAGCACCAGATATACAAAAGCAAGTAAACTGCACTCTTTTCCTTGAGAAGCTTATATATTAGAAATATTGTTTTGATGATGCTTCTGATCTCATATGAATCCCAGAAAATATTCTGAACTCGAGACTCTTTTCCAGAAATCTGTCTACTAGTTTCCATGCTCTGGTTTGAAATGGTCAGTATTTGATTAGGCCTGCTACAAAATAAAGTAAAATTATGGCCTGATGTAGAGATGTCCAAATGTCAATCCACAAAATATATTTAAATAACAAGGTCTTTTAAAAATTGTTTTATGATTAGCCAAATAGCTATTGTTGGGGGGGTAGAGTTATCAATAAATATGTCTATTATAAAGGATTAGAAGCAGTATGTTTTGGCAAGGTTTATAACCTAACTTACATCATTGATATATGTAACCTTAAAGAGGTTAGAAGTGATTTAAATTGTTAAAAAAGAAATGTACTGGGAGAGGCAGAGCAAGGGGGACTGAACAAGCAAGAATGTGCGTTTGCGTTAAAACACTAATATAGAACTGACTGCCTCTTCTTCCCATGATCTGAATATCATTTAATAAAATCTCACAGGAGTAGTTAACTGAAGTTTGCAGTGATAAAAAATGATTTGGCAGTGAAAATTCTTCTGCATTAACTATTTTTAAGAGGCCTTGTTTGGTGAGGTTAGTCTAGACAGGGTTGAACAACTGAAATATCTTCACCCCTTACTCACTGTAAGA